ATGTCTTGCAAACTAAACAATGTTATGTTTTTTTCCCATGATTTCACTAAGATAGGGAAGCTAAAAATACACTAGAACATATGTTGGCTCAAATAAACATCGAAGATCGCATCAGATCATCCAACATAGCACTTACAACCTAGGTATCAACACAACAATACAACAATTTAATTCAATATGTAACTAGATTTCCAAAATTAGGTTATTTTTAGAAGTCTTTATTATTATTTTAATTAATTCTTTTTTCCAATCTAGCAATGTCAATTAATCTTGAAATTTCTTTTTAGGTTTCGGCCCCTACCTCCCACTTAATTCATGCAATGTCCCCATTGAATGCATAAACATTTAAAGAACATAAAAATAAAGAGGGAAATTGGAATAGACTCCCATGCACTAGTAGTGGCGAGATCGAAATGAATAGGGGTTGCTAAAAGTTGCTCCAAAATTTGTTTGAAGACTAGAAACTGGAATGTTGCTTTTGAATGTACCGAAAAATAAAACCAAGAACATTGAATTCTGAAATGTAGTGCAAAAGATTGAAAAATAATGTAATGTATAATGACCACAACGTGGGAAAGTGTCAACCACGTTGTGGCGTCGAGCGAGGAAAAATCTGAATTACGAACAAATGACCACAACATCGGAAAGTGTCGACCACGTCGTGGCATCTAGGATGGCAATCTCCGCTCATGATGAAAACCTCCCCCACGACGTGGGAAAGTTTCAACCACTTCGTGGCAGCTGGGATGACATTTCTGATCAATATTGAAAGAAAACTCCATAGCGTGGGAACAACTCTTCTACGTTGTGGAAATCGATGAAGTCAGAATTGACACTCTTAGAATTCTAATAATAATCCCTCCAAATATCGACATGCACCCCACACTTATTAAATGTCTTGGATTTCGATTATCAACTTTAGACTCTCTTGGATTTTTCTCTTGTGACAAAACAACATTCGGACGTAGCGGCTGAACTTACTGTTGGATATAGTGTCTAAGTCCATAACTATATTTGGTATGTACTTGACCCGACCCGACATGGTCCATTTGGGTTGCATGGCATCATGCACTTGGATAGACTAAATGAGAGAAATAAGACACTTATGGTTTATTAATATATTATAAGTTCTAATATATTAATAATAAGAAGAAGAATATTTAGTTAGTATTGATCAATAATTAATTTATAATTAATTATGTGATCAAAAGAAGACTAATTAAATATATGGCTTGATTGTGTCAATCATCCATAACTTATATAGTGGGTCAAAGCTCCATGGATTATCAAGTTAGGTTAAACCCACAAGATGCTCCACGGATGATCCATGGAGGTTACATAACCCATGAGTCATTGAAATGAAAAGTCATGATAATTAGGGCTTACATGGTGTAACCCTAATTGTGACACACTATATAAAGGTTATTTTATTCACCAAAATATTTAGTGTGTATTTAGTTTTTTTTAATTAGGATTATGTTGTTTGTCAATGCTCTTGAGGATTTCCATGAAGAAACTAACAAATATTTTCGGTTTGTTGAGTTTTGACAAGTTGTGAGACGGTGTGACAAATGATGTCAACATTTCAAATGTACGTGTATTGTGTTTTATTTTAATTTGAAGCTTGTTCTAATGTTTAAAATATTTTAATTTTTAGTGTTTAGTGTTTTTTTAACTTTAACTTTGTTGTCTTTTAATTTCAAAGGTAAAATTACAAATTTGGTTCCTATAGTATGTCAAAAATTGGGACTTTGATCCAAAATATTTTAGAGTTGCACTCCTGATCCAAAATAAGTTTTTTGTTGCGTTTTTTGTTCATGTCAGATTTAAATGTGTTTGAAATGACATTTTTTTCCATTTCTATTTGTTTTTTACTTTACTTTTTATTTCCTTTATTACTTATTTAATTAAAATAAAATTAAAAATACATAATATAAACCCCACCCACCCACATCCCTCTTCCTATATACACACACACACACAAACACACACACACTCTCTCTCTCTCTCTCTCTCTCTCTCTCTCTCTCTCTCTCTCTGGAGAAGGTGATGCTAAGATGCTATTCATGGCCGCATTCTAATTTTCGGTAAGTGGTGGGGGTGGCGTTATAATTTTCCAGAAGGTGGTGGTGGCAATTGTTTTTAGGTTTTTCCGCTCGGTTGTTATGGTGGTGTTGAGAGTAGATAGAGATAGAGAAACAAAATGTGTTAAGGAGGTGGTGGGTGAGTTTTTTACTTTTTATTTTCTTATAAATATATAATTGAAAAAGAAGGTAAAAAGAAAAAGATAAGGGCATAATTATCATTGAAAAAAAAAAGTAAAAAGAAAAAGATAATAGCATAATTGTCATTTTAAATATGTTCAAAACAAATTGGACCAAAGTCGCAACAAATGAAACATTTTGGACCTGTAGTGCAAATCCAAAACATTTTGGACAAAAGTCACATTTTTTGACATACCACAGGGACCAAATTTACAATTTTATCAATTTGAAATATATGTGTTTCTGGTATTTTAATGGAAATTTTAATTTTATATTAATTTTTATATAAAATGTTCTTTTGTGTAAAAAGATAATACATGGTAAAAATGGTCACTCAACACTCTTAAATTACTAAAGTGGTCACTCGTCACTCTTAAATTACTTTGAGAACTAAAGTAGAAGACAAAACTATAAAATTGGGATAAAATTGTATGATTGGTCTCTATGGTATGTAAAAAACTTTGGATAGGGTCCAAAAAGTTTCAAACTTACATGAAATGTCCAAAATCAAAGTTTTTCTGAGTTTTGGTCCCTGAGACACTTGAAAAGTCGATTTTGCCATTTTCGTTTCTTTTTTCTATTTTCTTTATTTACTTTGTATTCAGATAATTATAAAAATAAAAAAATAATTTCTCACTCTCTCTCTCTCTCATACACCCAAAAACACAGATCGGTTTCTCTCTCAGTAAGATGCATTCCCCAACAAACTACTTGCCGGAGCTACTCTAAATACACCACCATTAACCACATTTCAAAATGGGAAAGAACTTGAAATTCTTCAAATCACTCCTCGGATTTAGGACCACCAAAGCCCCCACCACCCAATCTTCACGTTCAAAGCCTAAACAGCCAAAACAACAATGGAGTTTTGCGAAAAGGCACAAAAAGATTCCTCATCGTAGACTCTGGGACACTTCCAAAAAATCCCTCTTTTTGGACCTCTGATGTTAGATCTGCGTGTTTTTGGGCCCCCGATTTTGCTATGTAACTCAACTTTAGATTTCATCTTCTCCCATAGAGCTACCCCGACGAACAGAATTTGGTTCAAAACTCGATTTCAGATGTTCAACCCTTTCAGATCAAAAATCGGTTAAAAAATAGGTTGGAGATTACAAGAAGATGATAGTGATGTATATTTGGCCATTGATGTTCCTGAATCGAGGTGGAGGTAGACAGAGACAAAGTTTTGTTGAGGAATCGATATCTTGACTTCATTTTTCATTTCGTTTTTAGGGTTTCATTGAGATATAGGCTTCGCAGTGCCGCCTACCATGGAGGTTATCTCCAGAATTGCAGAGCTAGGGTTTCTAGTGATGGTGAAATAGTTATGGTTTTTCCGCGTCTTCTTTGTTTCCTAGTACAAAATAAATGAATGTGAGGACGACAAGGCAAAGGTGTGGATCGGAAGAGAGGAAGGTATCGTACAACCAATTACAAAGCAAATCCTCGCCTGAGTCGGAGTCGAGAGAGGATGTGAGCGAAGAAGATACAATGGTGTTCTTGAATGTTGAAGAACAAATAAATGTGAGTGTTATTGGTTGCTGACGCGCGCGCGCGTGCGAGAGAGAGAGAGAGAGAGAGAGAGAGAGAGAGAGAGAGAGAGAGAGAGAGAGAGAGAGAGAGAGAGAGAGAGAGAGAGAGAAGGGGTACAGTGGGTGGAGTAAGAGGGGTAGGGTGATATATATTTTTTTTTTATAATTTTTAAATTCTAAACACACTAAAAAAATGGAAAAAATAAATAATAATGGTAAAATGGACATTTCAATATTTTCAGGACCAAAACTAAAGAAAAACTTTGGACCATCCATGCAAGTTGGAAATTTTTTGAATTTTATCCAAAGTTTTTTGAATACCACATGGACAAATTTTGTAGTTTTGCCTTTTAAAAAAAATTGGATAGATATAAAAAGTTTCCAACTTGCATGAATGATTCAAAATAAAGAATTTCATTTGGTTTTGGTATCTGAAAATTTTGAAAATATTGTTTTGCGCTTTTTTTGTATTTTTTTATAATTCATTTAATAATTTATTAATTAAAAAATAAAAAGAAAAGAATCGGATCCACCCTTCCTCTCTCTCACACATCATAAATCTCTATCCTTATGATATCTCCTAATCAACAACACTACCATTAAGAACAAAAAATACAAAGAAAAAAAAAAGATGAATAATAATAGCGAAACAATCTTTTTAAGTTCTTCAGATCAAAACCAAAAAAAAAAAAAAAATGATTTTATACCATGCTAAGTTGAAAATTTTAAAGACTATTCAAAGTATTTGTGAACACGGCAGATACAATTTTACAGTTTCGTCAAAAACTAATCAAATGGGAAAGGAAAGTCAACGGCGAGCTACAACCTTGTTGGACTTTGGCTTAAACTTGGTTCCAAATTCCAATCACACTTCACATCTAATCTAACATAGTTGTAATTAACCAATCGCGTTGTCACGAGTGCCCTTTTCTCCTCACCACAACCACTCTTTTCAATACCGCGTGTGTTACACCACCATACAAGGCTAAAGGCTTTACTTGCAATCCGACGGTAACCATGTAACACGTAGGACACAAGTCTCTAATGTGCGCGTGAGTTTCTCACACGTCTTGGGGAATCGATCCATTAGGACCCACCTACAACTCATTTATCTATGAATCCCTACAAAGTATAAAATACCATTTTTTATTCAACACACTTTTATCTACCTCTATACCTCTCTATCCATCGCTAGATTCTTAAAATGGAGAATTACCTTGCTTCCACCTCCGGCTCCACCACCACCATCAACCACCCATCACCGCCGACAACCCCCGTTACGATCTCCAATCCAAACAACCCGTACCCAACAACCTTCATCCAAGCCGACACAACATCCTTCAAAAAGGTAGTTCAAATGCTAACCGGATCATCTGAAACAGTCAAACAATCCACAGCCACCACCAGGACAGACTTAGCTGCGAGAAACCCTATCCCTGACATGAAAACGGGTCCGAACAAACAACCATCGAAGCTGTACGAACGGCGGAGCAGTCTCAAGAACTTCAAAATCAGTCCGTTGCCTCCTGGATTCACAAACGGCGGAGGGTTCTCCGGATCCCCACGGAATCCCAACGCGCCGGAGATTATGTCCCCAAGTCTTCTTGGTTTTCCGTCGTTGGTGCTTAGTCCGGTCACACCTCTTCTTTCCGATCCGTTTAACAGGTCTCCGGCGAATGAATGTTCCCCAAATTTGGACGTTGAGGCTGAAGAAAAGGCGATTGCAGAGAAAGGATTTTACTTACATCCGTCGCCGGCGACTACTCCGAGGAGGGAATCGGAACCTCAGCTTTTGCCTTTGTTCCCCGTGACTTCACCAAGATTTTCCGGCTCTTCAAGCTCTTCGTGAACCATGAGTTATTAGTTTATTTTTTGGTTAATTATGAATGTAGTGGTTTTTTAATAAATAGAGTTTTCGTTGGATATTACTACTTTGGAGTATTTCTTCACTTTAAAGTAGACTTTTGACGATGGCGTTTTCAATGCTAAAAAAATAATGTTATATCGTTCTAAAAATAATTTATTGAAATGTAAATATTATAAAACAACAAAATCTAATGGCTTGTTTTAGCTGGTATTTGAAAATGTATTTAAAAAATGATTTTTAACACGTTAATGTATTGTTATAACTAAGACCTTTTGTCGGGCAAACTCTCCTAAACTAGGTTCAATTTCGAGGGAAATTAATTTACTTGGTTTATTTGTTGGAAGTATTGAGCATAAAATACGTTAATTATTATAAAGGACTAAGGTTTATCGTTCTTTATAAAGATTGACTATAATCATATAATAAAAAAAAGGTTTTTGGTACACTTTAGCACAATAAAGTTTGATGAATTTATATATTTAACCATTCAAGTATTTTTTTATGTTCAGTTGGTCATTAACGTTAGAAAATACCCGCTAATTAAGAGTTTTGAGGAAATTGTATCCGGTTTAAAGGTGATATTATGATATCATTGAATGTTTTGAGCAAAACCCATATGAGGTTTTTGGTACTGTAGAACAATAAAATTTAACGAATTTATACATTTAATCATTCAAGTGACCGACTGTTTCTATATCAGGTCATATAATAGTGTAATTGATAAATAAAATTCAACTTTAATGGTTTATTAGGCGCGCGCACACGCACACACACAAAAAATGAGTGGCTAAATGTGTAAAATGGTCAAACTTTATTGTGTTACGGTGTCAACAACCCTAAAAAAAATGACAAATGGAATGAAGCAATAAGGTATTTTGTCCTATTATCGATAAGATTGGGAGGAGTGGTAATAATCATAGGACATTCCAACATCATCTTTTTTAATGTCATATTATTTTTCTCTATCAACACTTAATTTTTAGTATTTGATAGAGGATAATAACACTCCTTTAAAAATAATGTTTTTTTTAATAAAATAAAAGTGCAGATTGCAATCCACTCAAATAAGCTTCCACCGGTCAAATTGCATAAACTCATTCTATCTCAACTCGCCAAAAGCTTAACGATCAAAGGGTAGCGAGCCCCCTAACGAGCCGCTAGGGAAACGGTGTTCTAGCTAGTGTAGCGAGCATAACAAACCTTTCTAACTTTCACACTCTATTCAGCCTAAAAGTACTTATATTTTTACATATTTTGATTTTGTAGCTCTTGTGGTTTGCAAAACCAACATTGATGGGGATAAGATAATTAAAACTTCCTCCCTATTTGATAAATCACAAAAACTTCTATTCTACTACTAAATGTATATATTTGTTCTGTATAAGATTTGAACTTCCGGACATATTTCAATACACATGTTGGACACAAAGTGACAAATTAAAGCATTTGGTTAAATATTATTAGGTAATTTATAAAATGCTAAATAATTGAGATAATAATATATTTTCATTAATTTGTTTATTATTCATTTTACTTTCATTTATTCATATTACAGCAATATATTTTAAAAGTTCTATTTAATTAAAGCACCCTATTTGAATACAAAACAGTTTGAATGGTAATACTTAGGTCAATTAAGAAAACTATAATTTATTAATAAAAATCAACATAGATTTTTTGAAACTATAATATTTATAAAAAAAAAAACTATAATTACTAGGTATAAGAAAATAAACTAAAACTAACATTGTAAATAAAAAACAAATTAAAGTATACTTTTATTGTTTTTACCATAACTAAAATCTGCTTATTTTAGTTAAAAATAATAAAATATAAATCAGATTTGCAAAAGATTGGCATGGATAGTGCGAGAAAAAAGAGCCGGATTGCTTGTCAAAAGAAAAGTAAAAGAACGGTGATGGAATCTCGACTCTTTTGATGATTAAGGACATGCCAATTGCAAAGACAAAAGTTGCCACTATGCGCTTCTATTACTAACTTTTCACATACATACATACATACATACATACATACATGATACATAATACACATACTTCAATGAGTTAATAATTCACCTATCTTCACATGAACTTATGATGATCACATTCACTAAATCATAAGTATATCATGTGATTCTCAATTCCATTTCTAAGTTATGATTCCATCATTCCATATTCCATTGTGATTCTCAATACACCTATATAATTTTGTTGAACCCATTCCATCATTGAAATTGCAAAAGCGATTAAGACTTGAAACATCCTTTAATCAATCAAAAATCATTCTAGATCTCCATTACGTGTTTCCTTTGTAATATAAACCATGTTTTGATTATAAACTCTCCTTCCAAATTACTCTATTAAATTCCAATGGTAAATTACCATTGGAAACACAAGTTCCAATTACAAAAACAATGGAACTTCATGGAATCATAACCAAAACCACACATGGATTAACATTTACTTAACTAATTTACATTTGCATCAATTGTTATGACAATAAGCTAATGTACAACTCAAATCATGAGGTTAGGGTTACAATCACACAATTCCATCAATGGAGATGAAATTTAACCACTCATCAGTTGAATAGCAAACCCATGATGTTCTAAAGTACACTCCAAGCATTAGAATCAACTCATAATCATCAATAACATATGGGATTCAGATTTGGTATACTTATCAATAAAAAAAAAACATGAAAGCACAAAAGCCTTCATAGGGAAAAATAAAGCACTTTCTTAAATAGAAAAGAATTCTATTCCATTTTCCAATTGCTTTTACTCGACACATTTCCTTTAATCCACAAGATATCCGTTTTTAAGTGATTAATGAAACTAAAGATAAACATAAAAGACTTGGGATATGCAAGTGATCTACAAAATACCCATTTAGAGTCATGAAGTTCCCAAAATGCCCTTCCGAACAACAACATCAACAAAAAAGAACACAAATTGTACACATTCAAACACAATCATCTCAATCATTTCCACAATTCTTCCATCGGGATCCCACGATCACGAGCCACTTCACTAAACTGTCTCATTTGTTGAACAGCCACCACAGTTGCTCTAGCATTATTAAGAGCATTGTTACTCCCGAGTTGTTTCCCCAAAGCATTCTCAACACCTGCCATTTCCAACACGATTCTAACAGCACCGCCAGCAATCACTCCAGTACCCGGGGACGCGGGCCTTAGCATCACCTTTGCCGCCCCATAATCTCCATCCGCCCTGCCAATGGTCAACAAAAGTCAATAAACCAAATTATAGCAACCTTTGAATTTCATCATTCAGACGTTTTCCTAATTAAACATTTTGATATGATATAATAAGATCACAGAAATCTGAATTATATATTATATATTTATATTTATACCTGTGAGGAAAGGTCAAGTACTTTGTCATAGGAACTGTTATTATGTTCCTTCGAGCATTTGTTGCAGATTTTTGAACGGCTGCAACCACTTCTTTAGCTTTGCCTACCCCAACTCCCACCTGCCCTTTCTTGTCACCGACCACCACCACCGCCCTAAAGTGCAGCTGTTTCCCACCTTTAACCACCTTCGTCACCCTCCTCACCTGCAACATTACCAAAATTTAAAGACATGTATATCGAATTTTGGACATTCAAAACAGTAATTGGAGATGATGTTATATCAGTTTTGGATCATATAAGGAATTCTTTGACGATGTAATTTTCTATCCCTCACCTAAAAACTGTACCCTTTGACATTTGAGGTCAAACCTATCTTCTACGACGCAAAATTAATATGAATTTGGTTTCAAATTCTACAACATAACCAATCTACTTGTAGTAACAGTCACAACAAGCAAAGGAAATCATATTTCATCAAATAAAATTTTCATGTATAATCTTGAAACTGAAAATTGATTTATTGACATTAAGAGTCAAAATGTAGTTAGAATCCCTAATTTTGGAAGAAATTACTCACCTGAACCACCCTCTCATCAAATCCATCTCTGACTTTATCTTTCTTTATTTTTCCGAAAGAGGTTGTTTTCTTTACTTTCGAATCCATCACATATACGTCATTACCCAACACACTGACTCCGCTATAGGCTGGTCCATATAATTCTTCGTATGCAGCGGCTATTTCATCTTCAGACTCCTGAGGTCCGTCGTCGAAAGATGGCGGAGGGATGAAGTCCTCCGGTTTTTCCGGAGGGTCGAAGGTCGTGATTTCATCTGGGTCTACATTGTCGAAGTACGTGGTGTCGATATCGGTAGACTGCGCTCTGATGGAGGGGAAATTTAGGGGTTTTGGGAGGGAGAGAGAGTTGGGTAGTTGGTGAGTGGGGAGGAGAGAGAAGCGGCGGAGAGAGAGGGAGGAGAAGGTGGAGGAGAGGGAGGAAGTAAAAGAGGCAGCCATGGTTATGGTCGAAGAGAAGGTCGAAGAGGATAGATAAGGTGATTTTCCGACTCTTATCTTTGAAGATACTGAGAAAATGGCATGAAGCCCCCCTCAAAGTTTGAGAAATTTAAATTAAGACCCAATTTAGTGCGTTCGAATGTATTCGGTTAGAAACCATATTTTTTTTATTTATAAAAAGGTTAATGCCTAAATATCTTTAAGCTTACACCCCATTTGCAATAAGCCCTATTTTTTTAAATTTGTTTATGTTGTCATTAACTTTAGGAAGACATTCCGAAAATGGGTTGGTACCAGGTTCCATTGGTTTCTTAGGTAACAACTAATGTGTTATATTATATGATGCGTTATATTATATGGTATATGTGAGTAAGATGATATTAGCTAACATATTATCCCCACCACTATCATGTTGCATGGTTGGTATCGGTACTTAAGCTACCGTTACACTATTACTCACCTCAGGTACACAAAACCTTATAAATAAAACAAAATGGACGACCCATGCGATGGGGAGCTCTCTCGATCAATCACATTCATTACTCACTCACATTTATTATCCCCTACACTAACTAGACCATCAAACCGCTTCTCCCAAGAAGCCGACTGATTTTTTTTCATCGATTGTGGCTACAAGTTCCAACCAGAGTATTGGTCATGCAAGGTATCCCATGAGCAGGATCAACGTTGTAACACTCAGAATTCAGGTATGTTACATTTTAGCCCTTGGGTTAAATTTATTTTTGCATGAGAGGCTCGGTCGTACGTTGGGTGCACATATGTATACGCTTAGCGTACATGGGTGTTTTGGACGTGGACTTTAACCACGTACGTTGGGCGTACTAAGGTGTACGTGGGGCGTACGTGGCCAGAGATAAAAACCTTAATATTAGGGCATGAGCCGTATTTAAGCTCACTTATGTCATTTGGACCTCACTCTTATCAGCCTCAACTGCTTGTTATCGTCCCTTAAACCCTAAATTGCTAGTGAGTGTGATCCTTGAGCTTTAAAGTGTCTTTGGTGGCCATTTTAGTGTGTTTGCAAGAAGAGGAGTTTGGTGTGCAAGCCTTGGACGTGGTTGAACTTCTAGATCCTGCATCCACATCTTCTTGGAGAGCTTTTGGAGGTAAAAAGTCCAGACCTTGATAATCCTTTTGCTAGTTTCAGTTAGGGTTTGATAGTGAGTTCATTTTTGGTCCATGGATCCTCTTTTGTGAGTTTGCGCAAATCCAGAGGTTAGAAATGTTAGATCTGAGTCCCTTTAGCATGTTAGAAGCATCAAAATGCTATCTTGATGGTTGTAAATGGTACCATGCAAGGGTTGGAGTTCTTAAAGTGAGTCTTATTGGACAAAATGGGATGTTGGGATCCCATGAAGCATGCAAAGGCATAAAGTTGCCAACTTTATGCCCTAGGACCTTTAAAATGACCAAGATCTGGAATTTGACATAGTGGCTACATGGATTAAGCTCTTAATGGTTGGTTATGCTTAGCAGCCTTATACGTTGGGTATATTGGGATGTACATTGTGTGTACTGCCTTAAGACCAAGTATGCTAAGCGTACTGATGGTGTACGTTGTACGTACGTCCTCTGGGGAGATGGGACAAGATTTGGGCTTTTGGGACTCTTGGGCCTTATCTAGTGTTGGGCCATGGCCCTTTTAGGGTAGGTTGGCTCAATTTCCTTCGTGGTCCTTGTGTGTCATGAAATGGGCCTTAGGTGGCAAGGTTTGGCCTTTTGGGCCTTATGACCCTTTATTGATTTTAGACCAAGGGTAATTGGTCCTATTAAAGGCGAAAGACCTTTGGGCCTTATTTGAAGAGCTTGGACATAGGGATTTTGGGCCCATGAGTGGGTTTGTATCATAATTCTAATTTGGGTAAATTGTATATTTTCAGTGTGAGATTTCCGGACCAGTAACCGAGCAGTTATTATTTATCAGCAGTTTGAGGTGAGTCTTCTCACTATATTAATGGGTTGAAGGCACCAATGCCGGCCCATTACCTGATATGTAGATTGATAATTGTTTATGTATTTAATTGTTTGAAGACCCTGGGGGTAGCCTGTGGTACTTGTATGAAGACCATGGGGTAGCCCATGACACTTGGATATCAGACCATGGGGGTAGCTCATTGTTAGATTAGATGTCTAAGCGCATAATTATTATTGGTATGTACTTGACCTGAGAGTAACATGGTCCATTTGGGTTACATATCATCAGGTTAATTTGTTAGGATGGATTCTTGAGATAAGGTTATATATATGATTTATTAAATATATTATAAGTTATAATATATTAATATGAAATCATATGTTTTAATTAATATTGATCAAGAATTAATTTGGAATTAATTTAGTGATCAAAAGAGACTAATTAAATCTATAGGGACTAATTATGGTAATTAGTTATATTTATATGTGTTGGGTTTTATGATCCATGTTGGACCAAGTTTATGTATGGATACATAAAGAGTTAGGCCACATGAACCATGGATCATAAAACCCATGGGTATGGTTTTGGGTTATACCCATGACTCTTGAAATCCAACATATAAATACATGTTCTTAACCTAAAAAATGCCTACATGCATGTTCTTGGAGTTCATGCGTGTTTTTGGGTGCATGGAATTCTCTCTCAAGTTCCACCCTTGCCCATGATGTGTTGTGATTCCATTTGAGGCTTCCACACTATTGGGGCTAAGCTTTTAAAGGCCAAAATTATCAAGTTCTACAAGCTACACAAAGAGGTAAACTTCTAACTAGTATTTTATGTAGTTTATATCATTTATATGCTAGTTGTAGGTTTAAAGCTTTGGAAACAATATTGCATGTATAATTAGAGAAAACATAGTTCCAAAGCTTTAGGGTTGTATGTGCACCAAAGGATGTTGTAGTATACAAAACCCAACAGTGGTATCAGAGATATGAGTTGTTTTATATTATATTTGATGCTTGGTTATTTTTTTCAAAGCTAAAAAATCATTTTTTTACTCTGCCTGATCACCACGAGGTGGTCAAAATTACCACGAGGTGGTGACGGGTCTGGCATATTTTTGGATTTATTGACTTAATTTGGATTTGGATAATTACTATAAAATGTTTTCTTGATAAAAATTCGATTTTATGTTGTGAAAATAATTATCCTCATCCAAATAAAAAATAATTTTCATAGTTTCAAGATTTTATTAGTTTGTGTAATAGACTAATTTCTTGTAAAATAGTTGATATAAATTATCTTGTTATTATGAGTTTAATCAAGATCATGGAAAAATTATTTGATTATTGTGTTAATTGGAATATTTGATCTTAATGGTTTTTATGAACTTCATAACTTGTCCTCAAGTTATGGAAAATGAAGAGTTTTTCTTTTAAAAGTTCATTAAGATTCATATGTTATGAAAAAAAATGAAAGGTCTTATTTTAATGTCATCATAAAATAGTTTTATGTCTTCCATAACTTGTCCTCAAGTTATGGAACTTGAAAAGTCTTCCATAAAAACCATATTAAACTCATAAGTTATGGAAACCAAAAGTTTTTTAAATTGTTCAAAACTTGCCCTCAAGTTTTGAAATTTGTAAAGTTTCCCCCCATGAATACTTTAATTGCAAATTAAACCCTAGAATTTTAAAAGTTTAAAATTCAAACCTTATACTATTATAATATTATAGGTATAATATACATACATATATATATATATATATATATATATATATATAAGAGTAAGTCAGTCTTACCGTTAGTAGGCCTCATTCACGAAGTCGGTCTATAAGGGGGTATAAGGTTACTGCCTATAAAATGACAGTTTAATGGGTGTCCACTCTCACCCACCACTTCCTTAACTGGTGGAGGGTCGTTAGCCTAATGGGTAGGACATGACATTAATTCTCCCTTCATTAAAAGTATATATAATGATAAATATAAAGTAACTAAACTTTATTAAATTCCCAATCTTAGTTACTTTAGGAAAATGTGAATTTGGTGCTATCCCATGAAATTACACTTTGCACCTTGTTAAGTCATTAATGAAGCGTTGTTTGGTTAACCGGCACACTAATTTGGGACTGATAGTGTGTGGCAAAGGGTATCTTGATGTTAATCATAGATCAATGGAGCGTGTATGGTTAACCGATACATTGATTAGGTGGTTGTAATATTGGGTGTACCAAGCTAATTTGCATGGTTATTCAGTCATTGTTTGTGATCCTCGACATCCCAGTCACAAACTTGAAAGTCACAATCGAGATTTAAACATGCCATTGAATAGGTCAATGAATATCAAAAGATCTAGGAGTTTCAATTAATTTAAAACCTAATGTTAAATTTTGTTTTTCATGGTGGGAATTGATAAATCGTCATTTACCTACCTTCAAATATTTTGTAGCTTGGATTACGACATCCCTCTTCCAAGTTATAAAATATTGTGTTGGGCCCTAGCCTTAATATTTTATATTGGGTGCTATATTAAGGACTTAAATCAACTAAACTTGAAATTCTCCCTCATAGATGTCTAGTTATGACAAATATGGTATTCCTTATCATTTTGGATAAAGCTTTCCTAATGAAGATGATATCCCAAATGGCAATCAAGGTGAAAGATTAATCCCTTTGTTGTGCATTAATGGGACTGGAAATCATACTTCACTTCCTCCACCTCCTCCAATTATTCTCCCTGAGCCACAAATTCGTGAATAGTTCAAGGTCACTCAATCCCTATTGGCAAGAACTGTCTATATGTACTCACATCTTGAAGATAAAGTCTCATACTAACAAGCTGGGAGAGTTGGGTGTCAAATTCTCAAGGAAGTTGACTATTGACTGGGTTCTTCAATCGCTTTCCGAGTCATATAGTGAGTTCATTAAGGACTACTATGTGACAGACCACGACATGACCCTTAATGATCTTACCTATTTCTTGTTGCTACTGAATCAGCAATGATTTGGAGCACCGGTAAGGCAAATTTGATTGGAAGATCTACTTCCCAAACTTCTATGGACATTGACAATGGTAACAGTAGAAATCTAGAAAAGCTTTATCTTTCCAATGGAAAGGGATCGACCATGGTCAAGTCATCTGATCCAATGGTAAAGAGAAAGGCAAAGTCTGAGATAGTCATGTGTACCATTCCTAAAGAGTCCATATGTTTCTATTGCCAAAAGGAAGGGGCATTGGTTGTGAAGCTACCCTATTTACCTAAAAGTTCACTAGGATGGTAAAAGTCAATAAATTTGACTATGCTTCAAGTAAAATCCACTATCTAACTCTATTAAGTTCCTATTTGGAGATTCTTATTACATGATGTGACTAGGTCGCATTTTGATGTTTTGTAGAATAAAAAATGGAGAGGAAGCTTAGAAGAAGAGTATGTTGAATCTGATCGCGAAGATGGATTTCGATCGCATGATTCGAAGATCAGAATTTTGAGCTGCTGCTTACGAGTTATGATAGATTGCTTAGGAATAGATAACAACATAGTTTTCATATGTATTTGCATTGTAAGGATAAGTTTTTTTTCCCGTAAGTTTTAAAATCAAAGAAAAGTTTTGATTTTATTTATTTTAAATTTCCTTACAATGACATTTGTGAAAAATTGTTTTTTATATGATTCCATTGATAGCAAAGAAAAGGATAAGTCAGGACTTCCGAGTGTATGTAATTTCTTATTCAGAATTTTTCTTAGATCCTTGACCGGAAGAATTGTTGGGTTGGATAAAGGGCGGATGGAAGTTTATGCAATGGTTGCAGGTCTATACTATGATCTTCTGGTCGATTATTCTACTCAGTTATGGAAGGAGTTCTTGAAAAGTAGAGAGAACACGAATGCTATTCATGGCATTTCGTGTGCCCGTTATTGGAGCTTGATCTTTCAATATTTTTATGAGAAAGAAGGAATTTTGGTACCAGCAGACGAAGAAAAGGCGGTGTTTCATATATATAGTTGTACGAAGGATCCAACTGACGATACAAATGAATTCCCATTTGTTGCTCGCATTCCGGATGCTATGCTGAAGAGAGTTGATCCAACCAACACCGTTCTTATTACTTATTTTCAAAACATTGATACTTCTGTTGAAACCGGGGTTCTATTGGCTAGAGAGGAAGATAAGAAATCAAAATGTTTGAAGAAGGTTGTTGCTGAATCTTCTACGAAATTTGTTAAAGAATCTACATCAGCAAAGTGTCCAAAGAAAGTACCAATCTCAGAGCTTGAGCCAATCCAACCAAATGTTGTTATTGCTGACACTCCTTCGACTCAAAAGGGAATTATTCCTTCGAAGACTGGAGTTTTTCGAAGAATCAAGATGAAGTCTAAGCACAACAGTCGCTCACATTTGACCAATGTTGTTCGTAAACCGCACGTTTCGCATCAAGGAGTCATTTTTCGTGAGATTCCTGCCCCTGCATCACCGTCTTCTAAGAAGCGAAGGGAAACAGACATGGCCAAACATATTTCAAAAAAGAAGACGAAGGGAAGAGTGTTTATTTCATCAAAATCTATAGCTGATGAAACTGAAACCATTCCAGAGACACCAGGAGCTGATCTTCAAAAAGATATTGTAATACCACTCGAAGTTTCGATTGCCAAGACCGTTTCTGTGGAGGCACAAACTTCTGACATTATTGTAAATATATCTAATATGGATGCAAGTGTCACAATGGGTGAGGATGCTTCATATGTTGAAGACAAAGGTAAATCTTCGAATGTTACCCCAGACACAACTGTTTCTTTATCTTCACAGGTTACACCTATCATTCCAACAACATCCACAACCGATTCTCCTACTTTTGCAACTATTATTCAACAACCATTCACATCTCCGCTTTCTTCACAATCAACTGATCCACCTACCACTACTTCTCCAATCAAAGATTCTTCTTTCATGGAAACAGGACACGAGTCCGAAGGTTTTGGTGGAACCTTTGAAAATTTAGAGTTTCATGAAGAAGAGACAAACTTTACAGATCATATGCTAATGACAATGAAACAGTTCAAGATATTGAATACCAAACTCAATTCAATTCTTCAGTCTCAGGAAGATCTCGGGGGAGGAAATTCTATAACAAGTCTTGAAGTCGATGGTATGTTGAAGATGATTGAAGGAAGGCTTTCTTCGAAAGTGTCTGGCATGATTAAGGATTATGAGTCCCGTCTTCTCGATAAAATTGACATTTGTGATCAGAATAATGAGCTGAGGGTCAATGCTCAGAAATCTACATTTAGTGGTGATCTGAAGTCATTAAAATCAATTGCAAAGGAACAACATATTTTGTTTATTCAAGATGTGAAGCAGGTGAGAGAAGATGTCAATTACAAACTCCAAAAACTGCGTCAAGATATGGAGAAAGAGATTGCAAATGTTCGTACTAAATTTGCATCTCTAAATCAAAAGATGGATATCATCTGCGATGCTGTTACTAAATTCGCAAAGTTGTATGAAAGTTTGAGTTGTCAAATTACTCAACTTTCTACAACTGAGAATAAAAATTTCATGGGGGTTTTTTCAATGCTAAAGGAGCTTAAAGCTTTATCTTCTGCACCTGTTTCGTCTTCTTTACTCTCTTCTGAAGATCTTATCTACAAAATTTCTAAATTCGAAGCCTTACTTATTCAGTAGTTGGCTCATCTTTCCAGAATATCAAGCCTTCTTCCTACCATGGATGCCCCACCTGCTAGCACATGGGTGCAAGAGTGAGAAAATAAAGTCTAAGGTACGAAGCCTAGTGATGAAGATGCGAAGGTTGTGGGTAAGGTATTTCCTTCCAAAATTCCAACTTCAAAACCATTTATAGCAACTGTTGGTCCTATTACTTCTACAATTGTTACAACTGTGCCTATTACAAGACCAATTTCGAAAGGTATTGTGATTGGTAAATCTATTGATACTGGTAGAAGAGAAGTGATAGAGGAATCAGGTTCGAAGGCAAGGGAAAGTCAATTTTAATTGAAAAATCTAAAGATGAAAAGAAGGCAGAGGCTGAAGCAGAAGTTGAGAAGATGAGGATGATACAAAGCATCATGACTCAGAGGGCTAGTGATCCTCCTTGTATGAACAAGGGTGATCCATCGAAGAACTACAACTATGAAACAATTGAAGACAAGGTTGCATTCAATCACATGTATTCGTTTGATAAGAAGCCTAAACAGAGTTATATTGTCACGAATACGGATGCAAGCCAATTTGAATTTCCAATTAACGAAATGATGTTCATCATGCCTCAGTTCAAAGCTGAAAGTAAATTCAAGGAGAAGGATAAAGGCACACACATGAAGATAAGATTTCATGCGGTTCTTGCCAAGCCTGCAGAAGAAGTGTGGTCCTTAGTCAAGATCAAGAAGGTCATCAGTATAAAGAAGGATGTGGTTTTCGAAAACACAGTCCAAAACATGAAGTATATTATGACCAGGGCAAATGGAGATGTGTGCGAGTTTACAATAGATGACTTTCCTTTGATGAACTTGTATGATCTTATACAAGTTGCATTACTGCTGAAGGAAAGATCATTTTCATATATTCAAAACATTGAGCCTGACGAATACAAGCTGGGAGTTACTCACATCAAAATTTTTATCGAGAATTATTATGAATGTTTGGCAATGACAGATGTGGAGTTAGCTAAAACAAAAGGTCTGGAAATTACAACACCAATGGCTCCTTCAAAGACTCAAGCAGACTTGAAGAAATATGCTAATGGTGATATATGCTTGAAGCCTTTTGGCTTAGTCTTCTCTCGAAAGGACAAGTCAGGAAAGTCAAAGAGATTTTTGTTCCAGGCAAGTGAAGTTGAAAGATATTCTACTTCGCAATATACGAACTTAATTGTTCATATGAACCATTGCAAGAAGAATAATGAAGGTGACAAGAAGGAACTTAAAAAGATTATCTCTTGGTATACTGAGATACGAAGAGTAATGTTGTACTCCATTCAACTTCTTACAAACTGAAGTCTTCAACTCTTTTTACAAAGGGGGAGAATGTATGGGTAGTTTGGTTGTAAAGAGTAGAAGTTTTGTATGTACTCTTCGTATGTTTTGATATCTATTTTACTAAGGAATTTTATATGAAGCTTTGATGTCTAGTCCTTAGTATATTTTTTGTACGCTTTTACTCTCCTATAAATAAGAGTCTTTACTAGAGTTAGATAAGCTTTTACAGTCTTGTCTAATTTTGTACTCTGTAAACCTAAAGCGTAATATTGAGCTGAATCACGATCTTATTTACATCGGTGTTCAATCTTTCATTCAGTTTCTGATTACTTACTCTGATTAAGATTCAAACTCGATTCTTAGATTCTACAAATTGCACATTGACATATGTAAACACACCAGTAACTTGGATGTCATAAACATATCATTGTGTGTAATTTGATGAGTGAGTACAAGCGAGTATTTGGGTTGAAGTTTGTCCATTCCTTTTACCTTATGTGGATAAAAGCGATATCTGTGGGCCCCTCGATGATTTAGTGATGACAACCCTAAGTGCTCGGTCGGGCCTGGACTGATTTGATTTGTTCATTTAGTCGGTCGTCACAAATCAGGAATCGGGAAACAACAGATGGATAGAGAGAATGATTTGAATCCATGTCTCAGTCTATATAATATCTAGAATGGAGGAATATATGATCCCTTATCTAATGGACACGTCATTGACTAGGTAGAGTTCGGCAGCGGCTTTTAAGAGCTATGATTGCTAGTCGGGTTTTGGAGTCGTACTTGCAATAATAGTTTTAGAGTTATCAAAGTGGGAGACTGTTGGATTAGATGTATAAGCCCATACCTATTATTGGTATGTACTTGACCCGAGAATAGCATGGTCCATTTGGGTTGCATATCATCAGGTTAATTTGTTAGAATGGATTCTTGAGAGAAGGTTATATATATGATTTATTAATATATTATAAGTTATAATATATTAATATGAAATCATATTTTTAATTAGTATTGATCAAGAATTAATTTGGAATTAATTTAGTGATCAAATAAGACTAATTAAATCTATGGGGTCTAATTATGGTAATTAGTTATATTTATATGTGTTGGGTTTATGATCAATGTTGGACCAAGTTTATGTATGGATACATAAAGAGTTGGGCCACATGAACCATGGATCATAAAACCCATGGGTATGGTTTTGGGTTATACCCATGACTCTTGAAATCCAACATATAAATATGTCACACCCCCAAACCAAGGATGATGGAAACGTCCGGGGGTGGAGGACTTCATGTAGAGTATCACAACAATGAGTATAATAGTGCTCAAAGTAAATACAACCAACACAAATATAATTGAAAACGTTACATCAAAGCACATGGTTACATGATTCACATCAATTACATTATAATACACAGTGAACTGTTTGACGATTTATCGTCCCATCCTCAAAACGTTGTTGATTTCCTGTTTTCACTGAATTCCTGAGAATACAAGTAGTTTTGAAAAGTGTCAACACAAAGGTTGGTGAGTTCATAAGAGATTTCGTTGGAAAAGTAAATCGTTTTCCTTGTAAAAGCGTTAGAATATGTATCCAGAAAATCCGATATTTTCTTTAAAATCTGCGTAATGTAGTCTTATGACTAAAGACCAAAATGTATAAGTAACCTTTCTTATTAATAGAAAATGTTATGTACTTAAATGGACATGGGCGCGTTTGAATTAAATGAAATTTCTGTATGTTCTCATGTTCGTTAATACTTTATATATATGTAGTCCTAAATTAGAGGACCGAGAAATAACAAGTATTGACCATACTTAAAAGTATAAATGTGGTTTCAAATGATGTGTAGTCGTAACTACCAAAACCAAAAGTGTACAGTAATATCTGTACTCATAGAGATAAAAAGTGATTTTAAATCGACATAAAATTCATTTAGGTTTTAAAAATAAAATCCCGTAAACTTATGGATTGTTATATCCCTATGTGAGTCGCTATAATCATACTATGACTATGTGAACCTGCCACGACGTTCTCAGGCGTCGCGAAAAATAAAATGACATTTGTCACCCGTAGACCTGTAGGTCCCACTGTAGCTAGCAGCAAGGTGTGGGGTGTCAAACCCAATATAGATCTATATACAAGTATCACGTTCTCCCTCAAGGAGATTCTGATTATAACTACCAGGAATTATATCCCGCACTCGGATGTACGGGGAGAGAGAGAGAGAGAGTCTCACAATATAGGTTAACAAATTTACGTGAAATGTGTGTGAATATAAATCTTTCTTGTATGAATGTACTCTTTCTGTACGAGTGTGTTGAGTGATGTATCATAAACTATACCTATTATAGTTTATCTAAAATGTATGTAATATGTATGAACTCTTTTATGGAAATGTATTAGTGTTATGAATTTATTAAACTATACTTTTATAGTTTGATATACGTGTTCGAAAATGAATAATCAATATTTATTATGAATGACTTAGTTTCAGTTCATGATGACAAACTAACAAGGAAACACATTCAATAATTAGAACTTAGGTTTATACACTTTGCTCAACATAATACAAAGTGTTATGATATTTACATGCTGTTGGCTAACTTTAGCCATTCAGCCCTGTTTTGGAAAAATCATAGAAAAATCATATGAAGTCGAAAACTAGATCCGTAAATTCTGAGAGTTCAAAAAATGTGTCTAGTTTACTCATAATTTTTATCACGATTTTTAATGACCTCCAACTTGGGTGAAAAAGTCCATAATCACAAACTGGTCCGGATTGTTGTTTGAAATGATAGGCAGTTTTGTAAAAATCACCATAAATTGTAGAAAAATCGTATGGAGATGTGCAAATAGTCATTTTAAAGCTAAAAACTTGAACTATTTGCACCTTGTACAGTTTTGAAAACAAAAATGTTTAAGATGCCCAAAACAGTCCGTGAATGGAGTTGAACTTTTCTGATGAAGGCTGTTAGAAAATTTTAGTTATGTTCTTGGTGTTTTAACTTGTATTCCCCCCTGAAAACTTGAGAAAACATAAAAATGTAGGGGTATGAACTCACCTTGAGTGATTTCAGTAGATAAGTGTTGAAGGAGAGAAGTGTTCAAGCCAAGAACACTTGAAGAATCACTTGAAGATTCGAAGCTCTAACACAAATATGATGGAGTTTGTGTAAGATATCCATGATTTGAGTGGAAATAAGTGAGATAATCATAAGGAGAATGGATTATTATTACCAAATGTGGAAGAACACTTGATAATCAGCCTTGAATCTCGAGTTTGGTGGAGAAAAAGTTTGAGAGAAAAGTGGTGTTTGATACTTAGTGAAATGAGAGCAAATGAGAGAAATAAGGAGAGAGGATGTTTGTTCCAGCTCTAAAAACGTGGGAATGAGTGTAATTTGAGTGTAAGGGACATTGAAGTGACTTAGGTAAGGTGGGGAGGTGTGGTTAGTCAAAGAGTGGGTGTGGGGTGGTTGCTTGTGACATTGGATAAGGCAAAGTCAACACTCCACCTTTAATAATTCACCCATTTGATTTTTATTATTAAAATAATGATTTTCATCAAAATATGTTTAAATTATGAATATTTAGAGTTTATTATGTTAAAATATAATTTCTGGAGAAAATCCCGCTTTAAAATCACGAAAAACGGGCTTAAAATGTTAAAAATATCAAAA